CATGTGCAAATGTGCTTGATACACTGGATGAATGTATGGATTGTGATAAGAGATGTAAGAGCTCCCAATAAAAGTATTTAGTAACAAAAAATTCAGAAAGGCAAGTGAATTTGGGGGAGGAGAGAAAAGTTTAAGATAGGTACTTTTGGATTAAATTGAGTATTGACTGTAGACTCTGTAATACAGAAAGCTTTAATCACAACAAAAGGAACACAATTCACTCACTCTGTCAACCAACAAACACATCCTGAGATCTATCGAGCCAGGCACTCGGCATACAGAGAGGGAAACAAGCAAATAAACCAACCAACAGCCATCCCTCTCCAGGATCTAGACTATCAACAAGAATCCATGAAACACCGTGAAAGCCAATCGCAGGCAACCAGTCCTCTCAGGGAGCTGAGTGAAGATCCCTTAGGATAGGTGGCATTTGAGCAACTAGAGGGAAGGACAAATCAGCCTCCCTAGGAGAAAGGACATTTTGGGTCAGGGACTAAGCCCCAATGGGATGGGGTCTGAAAGGGTGCAGAGTGGGGGCCGATCAAAGATACCACCATAGAGCACGGTTTTAAGCAAGGCAGGGATGCGATACGAAGCTAGGTTGGTAATCTGAGGAAGACAGTGGAAGGGGCATAGCCTCTGAGAGCCAGGAGATGCCTGTCAGGGTGTGCGGGTGAGGGCAGATCAGCACCCACTGAGGCTTGAAAGGGAGGGGCCTGACAGAGGGTTGCTTCTGAGGTGGGACCCCTAGGTCTATTGGACAAGGGGCAGGGTGCGAGCCAAAGGGAGGAGCTGAGAGCGTCCCTGAGCTCCTGAGCTCTGAGGAGGGTGGGTGGTGAGAGGCCTTGGCTGAGGGCCAGAGTGAGGACTGGGCTTTCCGTACCTCAGCCTGCCAGGGGCTTCACTTCCTTAGCATCTGCCTGGCCAGCCAAGCCAAGCTGCTGTCTGGCTAGGTGAGTAAAAAGGAAGTTGTCATTTTTCTTTTGTTCCAGGCAATCTTTCATGCTGGGGCTTAGTCAAGGCTTTGCTATTACATGGGAAGCTACCTTCCCAGCTCAGTGTGGGCTCTCAGAGAGAAGCCAAGGAGGGAAACCAGCCTTGATGGAGCGCTGTCTTTGGCCCAGCAGGCAGGAGAAAGATGAGGCTTTCCATTCCCGGAGAGTTCCAGTCTCAGAAACCCCCAGGGCCGTCCTGGCCTGGAGCTACCATGAGTCGGAAGGGACGCAATGGCAGTAGGTTTGGTTGTTGGGTTTCAGCCCGCAGTGTTTTTGTATTCGCGATTTGATTGAATCCTCCAGCCAACCCTGCGCATGCAGCATGATTACTCCCATGTCCTGATGAGGGACTTCACGAGGAGTCAGAGATAATCCTTACGGCTCATGATGTAGGGAGTGTCTCCAATCTCAGGGAGGGTCTCCCAGGGCTGCTTGGATGTAGTGGCGAATTCTCAAATCCCTGGTAGGGGTCTTGGGTGATGCAAGCAGTCAGTGCACTCTGCAGCGAATGGAAAAGTGGGCTGGTTAAGTCCACCGAGAGGCACCTTGGAAGAAAGGCCTGGTCAAGGGCCCCACAGAGGCAGCCATTGAAAACCTTTGGTAGCACCCTTTCACTCTGGCACACACGGGGTCACCATGAATCAGAATTGACGTGAAGGCAACTGGTAACCAGGGACCACTCAGACAGTCTGAAGCAAGCTACCTCATCTCGCCGAGTCGTGATCCCTCTGCTGTGACCCGGGGAAAATCTTGCTCTGGTGAGATTGCTTGTGGAAGCTGGGCAAAGACCAAAGGAGAACCGATGCCTTTCCATTGTGGTTGACAAGGAATATTGAATATACACTATGGGCTTGTAGAAGAACAAACAAATTTACCTTGGAGGAAGTATAGCCAGACCGTTCTTTAGAAGCAAGGGGTCAGGGGGAGGTGGGGGAAGACGTCATCTCCTGTACTCTGGACATGCTGTCAGGAGTTGACCAGTACCTGGAGAAGGATAGCATGCTTACTAAAGTAGAAGGTCAATGAGAAAACAAGACCTCAATGAAATGCGCCATCGACTGCAGCAAGGAGCTCAAAGTAAGCGGTCATTGTGAGGATGGCCTTGTTTTGTTCCCTTGTCCAGCGTTGCTCAGAGCCGGAACTGGATGGAACCAACGCGTGGACACCTAACAGCAGCCACACTGGTGCTGTCCGCAGAATAAAGGAGAAGGCCAGAGAAGAGAGAGGCAAGCGAGAGAGAGAGGCAGTTTTAGAGTGGAAAGAATTTGGGGGACAGCTCCACGATGGGTGAGAGGCTAAGGAAGAAGGATGTGCACTATATAATGCAGCGTCCTCTCTTTGGCTCCATTACCCTTCAACAAGGCCTGCACGGTTGGAGTTGTTTCTTTTACATGAGCTCAGTTGAGATGGTCCTTGGGGAAGGCATAAGGGGACAGGCGCTCTGTTCTTCCCACTCTATTGGAGAACGTGGGCATGTTCAGCCAGAGGTCCTGGGACTGGGGTTGAACTGGGGGGTGGGGGTGGGGTGGGCGCATTTACCAGATCGGACAAGGAAGCCTTCATCATTTTAATGGTTGAAATAAATATTGCCACCCAAGAACATGACATTGTTAGGATGAAAAAGAACCTCTGTTGTTACCCACCCCCCAATAGGCATTTGTGAGATACGTGTATCAAGAGTTCTGAAAAGGAGAATGTTACAGATTAAACAACCACTAAATGATATTGCTTTTTCAGTATAGAGAAGTGTTTGCTGGTTAAGGAAATTACTCACTCACTCACTTACTACCATCAAGCCAATTCCAACTCATAGTCAACCTGCAGGACAGGGTTTTGGAGACTGTAACGCTATGGGAGTAGAAAGCTCCGTGGTTCTTCCGTGGAGTGACTGGTGGATTTGAACTGCTGACCTTGTGGTTAGCAGTCCAAGGTGTAATCCATTGTGCTGCCATGACTCCTGATTCAGGCAGTAATGTCTCCTTTAAAAAAGATTTTAGGACCAAAGGAGCAGGCATTGCTTATTTCCATTTGGAAATACCACTATTGTTATTATTAACAGATTTAAAGGCTTTGAATTGCTTTTAATATTTTACTTGAATCTGGATACCTTTCTTAAGCAAATGAAATCATTCAGTTCAGTTCACAAATGGCTTCAGCAATCTGTCTTCACAACTTATTCTGAAAAAAATGGCGAGTTAATAACACAAATTTACAAAGATGAATTAGAGAGTTGGCTTTCTTATTACAACACAATTACTTGATATTTCAGCAGGTTTGTTTAAATGGGGCCTTCAGGTACACTTCCACGTTATTTTATTAATTGGATCTGTTGATCAGAAAGAGGAGACAGCTGGGTGCGCACACGCGTGGACTGGGGGCGGGCCCGGACTTGAGGAGGGAGGAGAAGCATGGGAGTGGCAGGTGAGGGCGGGAGGCAGTGAAGTTTCGATAAGAGCTGCTGGCCTGATGGTGCCTTGGCGAGGAAAGAGGAACAATCTCTGAAGTTAATGTTTTGGTGGGAAAACTTGCTTTCCACGTTTCATAGCACCATTATTTTCATGTTTTCCAATTATGTTACTTAAAATGAGGTATAGCTGAATTTTATATTTCCTTTTTATTAGGAATTGAAAAAAATAAGTGATTTTATTTTGAAAGTATCCCCTAATTTCTTCCCTCTC